AAAAAGGGAAGTAATAAAGTCAGGGGGAGTATCTCCGATCCTATCTCTTTATCCCTTATCTTTGATAACTCCTTATTTAATTCTGATGCGACTCATCATTTAGTTATCTCTGATACTTTTTCACGCTATCTTCAATTAAAAAATATCTAGTTTTTGTCATCATCAAAAAGGGGGAGATTGTTAGAACAAAGTTTGAATCTACTACCCTAAGTTTAAGTTTTGATGATAACAAAATGAAATGATATATTAATTATGTGATTCATGTAAGAACTATTTGCTACCTAAAATATTACTTTCTGTTTTGCAGAAACTCTGATAGGTATCAGCAAAAGTACATCATAATCAGCATCAGAATATTGGTTATCAACATCAGCATCAGAAGTTGCTATATCAGAATACCAGAATCAGAAGAACAACTCACGTTTATGCTGAAGCTTGATGAACAGAACTGCGCTCAACACTCTGATCTCTGATAAAGACAACAACAGTTCATCAGCACTTAAGCATCGTCAGAATGAGCCAAAGCCAGAACACGCTTTAAGTAGCAACGATACTGTGCATTCAAGACGAGTTATTACCAACGACATCATTCCAGACAAGATCTGCTTAATAAGGAAAGTTTATAATTGGCATTGAATCAAGATTATTGCTCCAACGTTCATCAATTTCAATGCTATATAAGCAAGACAATGAAGATTGAATTGGCTAATGCTCTACAACTATTTCCACGCCTAAAAGCTATTCATCATCTTCTTATTCTCAGTTTGCTAAAATCTCCATAATTCCTTACTCAATTATTTTAGCAATCTAGTTTCAATAAGCTTAAGTTGTGTAATATCACAGTTGTGATAAAAAGTTTTGTAGAAAACATTCACACACCTAGATTTCAATTCTTTGTAAGAAAGTGATTCCTTGACAAACCGGTTTGTGGTTTGCATCAAGAAGGCTTTAGCAGTTGTTAAAGCAGATTGTAATATTCAGTTGAATATAGTGAATTAAGACCTCGTTGGAGAGAGGCGAAATCACCTTGATGGGTGGACTGGAGTAGTTTGAGATCAAACGAACCAGGATAAAAATATCGTGTTCATTGCATTGATTTTCAGTTTTACAATTCAACCCCCCCTTCTTGTGTTTTTCACTTCTTCACAAACTGCATCATTCACCCTCTGAGGCCCTCGGGTGGGCATCCATATCATCCATAAGGCGTGTAATACCCTAGAAAGTCAGACCCATGCATCACCAAATTTTGGTAAAGCTTGGTTTCAAAACTTTTCAAATACATGCTATAAATTGATTTTCGTTCCATATTCATGCTATTGTCATTGATTGTGAACATTCTGACGTCTTTCATGTAAGGTACAGGGCCAGGATCTCTAATCACCATCGTTAGGGTTTCTAAACATGAGAGTTTCGTTTTTAGGGTTAGAGGCATTTTTAGGCCAATTTAAGACGAGAATCAGATTCAGGACTCGATTTTGTGTAGGGTATGGCCTTTAACTCTTCACAAATCCCACACTTTTGCAAGTTTGAGGATTGTAACCTCCCAGAGAAGATGACCGGTGATCCCCTCCGGCATCGTTGAATCATTGACTCCATTTGGAGCCTGCGTGGCATTTTGACATAATCTGATTGGTTCATTTAATTGCTGACGCACACATTTTTTGATGACATGGATCTGATCATTGTTTCACATATAATATTATTACGTTATTATATATATGAATTAACAGGATAACGCAGATGGTGAGGGTGCAGGTGTGTGAGGGAAAGGAACTGGGTTCGATCAAAGGTCCAACAATTTTGCATTTTTTCAAAGTTTCTTGCAGGTTCCAGTACATAGCATCTCAATATGTCCACCGTGTGTCTCTAGATCTCAGCCACTAGATCATCCACCATTCAGATCTAGCGCCTAGCAATTAATCTCCATGGTGGACCATCAAGCACGCCCCCCACTGGATCTCAGACAAGGCGTTGGGCTTGTGTTAATCTGGGCCTGGCATTTTTTCAATTTGCACCCCGCAGATTGCTTTCACTATCAGACCCATTCTCTCATTTTTCTTGTTATCTTTCAAGTTCTTTATTTTATTTTAATTGTTTCAAAAATCATTTTTTTTTATATTTAAAATCATAAAAATAAAAATAAAAACACAAAAAATAAAATTAAGTTTTTTTTTATAATTAAATTAAGGTTGTAAATTAACTTAGTTTAATTACTTTATTCTTTTTTATTTAAGTTAAAATTAACTAAAAATTAGGATTAAATTTTAAATCTTTTTTCTTTAAAAATACCAAAAAATATTAGTTTCATTAGAATTAATTGTAATTAATAAATTTTTATTTTATTTTTAATTTAGTTAATTAGGATATTATTACAATTTAATATTTTCATAAATAAATAAAAAAAAAAGATTTTCTTTTAAACATTTTTAGGGTTTAGACGCTCTTTCCATTCTTCGCGCGCTTATTATGCTTTTCAAATTGATTGTATCTGTACACAGTTTGTAATAGTTTAACTTAGGGTTTATTTACTGCTTGTAATTTTTGCACTCCCAAGTTTGGTTATGTATCCCCCTCCCCGAGGCTCTGTAATAGCTAGGTTTAATTTCTTCCTTTTAAATTCTCGCACTATTATTAACTGTTTATATTAATAGGATTGCATGGAAAGACTGAAATTAAAACGATTAGATAATCCTAAATGCGCAAGATAAATGAACTGAATCAACACACTTGCACATGCTCACCCCTAGGGTATCTCTCACTTCGATTGCCTTCAAAAACGGTCACAACTCTCAAAACGTGAGAATCTTTAGTGACTGTCCTTTAGTTCAAGAGATCATAAGTCCCTCGATGACCCTTTCGATGTCGCCTCGGTTAAAAAGTGATCTTAGAACTTTGGGACAATTATTAAAAGTTCTTGCCCAGTTGCCTTAGTGACCGTAAACGTCCTTTCGATAGTCCCTCAACATCCAACGATATGGATACCTACTCATTAATAGTAGGATGACACTATCTAAAGGAAAGGAGGAAAAGAACACCTTTTTCGAGTAGGTAGATAATTGTTAGGTACTTGCTCAAAAAACCATTTTTTCACACTACACTTTCAAAACCATTTTCAGAAAAACGCTTTATCAACACTCTTGAAGACTGATACAAGAGTTAGCATAAAGCAAATAAAATTTTCAAAACACACAAACACGAAAGTAATTTTAAAAAATGAGCAGTGCCTAAGAGCCCGTGGAAAACCACAGATGGAAAGGGTGCTAACACCTTCCCTTTCCATAATTTACCCCTTACTCAGAAACTCTCGAAAAAGGTTTTTTTTTGTTCTTTTCACCCTTTCCTTGGTTAGATAAAAGAAAAGTCGGTGGTGACTCTTGCTTACCGCACATTTGCGAATACAAAATACAAAACCAGTATAACAGTTAGTTCTCCCACCGTATTACAAATAATATCTATTGTGGAGTGTAATAGAACTAATATATAATAAGCGCTTAAAACCACTCTTGCTTAGCTTGGCCTGAGGTACGAAAGACTGTCAGATTAGATCTAACGATTGATGATGAACAAATAAACCAGATCTAATATGTGACCTTCTAACGAAGGTCTACCAATTAACATTCTTTTTTAAGATTCTTTAATTGGATCACTCGAGTTTAGGGATGACAATGGGCAGGGTCTAGGTAGGATACTATAGTACCTCTCCCCATACGCGCAGTTTGAAAAAATCTCCATACCCGAGCCCATACATGCGTAGACACCAACTTTTGTACATGTACCCTATGGGTACCTAAGTACCCATACGCGTACCCGTTTATCCATATTTCTAATAAAAAATTATTGATCAATTGTAATTTATCATGTCATTTTAAGTTTTTCAACAACATTTAAAAAAAATTCAAGAATGTTATTATTGAGTTAAGAAATAAACAAAGACTTTTATTAAAACGCGTACATGTTTAACAGTGATGTATTTAATAAAATTGATAAACATACATGTGTATATAATAAAAAAGTATAAATATATAAATATATATTATGCGGATATGAGAAGGGGTGGGTACTACGTTACCAGTACCCACGTTCATACCCACTTATTTTCGTGGGTAATTGCCTGTGTTTATGCATGTATCCATTTTGCGGGTTTTTTACCCTATCCGTTGTGAAATTTTTTTTTGGGTTGGAGATGGGTACAATTGCCATTCCTACTCGAGTTTGGTTGGCTCGAAATACTAAGGCTTTGTTTGAGAGTTTGGAGGGAAAGAGAGGGGAGAACTTTGAAAAATAGGAATGATTGAGTGAAAAGATTAGAAAGATTTTGGTTGGGAGGATTTTTGAGGGTGTGGTTTTCTTCATAACACCAAAAACTCCTTAATTTGGAGAACTCAAAATTTGTATTAAAAAAGAGTTACAAAGGATTTAGGTAAATTTTTTAAATATATTTTATATTGTTATAAATTATGAAAATTAAAAATACAATAATAATAAATACTATTTTATGGTTCTATACAAACTAATTTAAAAAAAATCAAATATTTTCCTATATTTTTTAAAAAATTCGTTTTCGGAAGTCCTCCCTTCTCTTTCTCTTCAAACTCGCAAATAAAACTAAAGATTCTTGTCGTAGGCACACCTTTTAATTCTGTTTAAAAATTTGTTCTTATGAAAAATTAATTTTTCAATAAGTGATAAATTAGTTTTATTTTGGACAAAACTTAAATACAATTATTTAATTATAGTTTTTATTATTTTCTAATAAATTTTGTAAATATAATTAAATATCATTTTATAAATAAAAATAGAAATAATTTATATATGTATAAAATTATACACTTATAATATTTTTATTAGAAATTAGGAAGAATTGCACCTAAAATAATTCTATATAAGTTTTGTCATTTTATTTTTACATAATTTACTTAATTATCTTAAAACCTTGTTTTTTCACAACGTAACCCCAATAAAAAGTAGAACCAGAATTGAAATTGTAAGAGCATAAGAAAATGGCGAAACGCAAGAAATCCGAATCCAGTTCACAATCCGTGGGTAATGGGAGTAGCATATCGGAGTATGAGGAACAAAGACTACGGAGAATTGCAGAAAACCAAGCGAAGTTGAAGGCTATGGGTTTACCCCAAATGGTCTCTTCCTTGAAAACCTTGCCTCAGATTAAGCAATTGAAGAAGGGAAAGGAAAATGTTGAAGATGATGATGAAGAGTATATACCAGAAAATGAAGAGGAACGAGAAACCGAATCAGATTCTTCTGGTGAACATGACTCTGAGTTTGAAAATGCTTCTGGGTCACGGAAAAGGAAGGTTTGTAACGTTTTTCAATCAAAATGCTTCCATAAAGTGTTGTTTTTTAAGTTCAATTTTAAGTTCAATAAATTAGTTTAAAGGATACTAAATGAGTTTTAGGGTTGGTTTGGAAAATCCAGTTAATAGCTTAATTAGGTTTATTGTTCGGCTTTAACACTTTGTATGTGTGGCAAGAGTTCACTAAAGTAGCCTATGATATTGTGTATACGTACCAACACTAAGGAACTGGATCTCAACAGAACTCCACAGTTAAGTGTGTTTGTGTGAGAGTAGTGTTAGGAAGTCCTTTTAGGGTATGATTCCCATTATGTCCACGATATTTAGTTCTTAAGCAAGACCTCAAGATTAACTATTTTGATAGAAGTATGGTCGTGGATAAAATATTATGAAGAAAGTTGATCCATGTAGTCAATCCTATTTAGTGAGATAAGACTTGGTTGTTGTTGCTGTTATTGTTGATTACACATATTGTGTATGCTTGTGATCTTATATGATAAGTATCCGTTCGATAAACACTTAATTGAGCGGGTTACCCAAATGTCCCATGCTTTTCAAATATAAAGATTAGATTTTGTGTCTTGTTGATCAAGAAATACACTTCAGTGAGGTCCCAATGTGTAGTTTGTGGAAAAAAATAGGCATCAAGCTTGAACTTTAGGATACTTAAAATTAAAAATATAAGAGAACTTAGTTAAAAAAATTAAGATATATTAAAAGAATGATAGAAAAATACAACAAAATTTGCATTTGGAGTTATTTTAATTCAGCTTTCATCGAAGCATCAGACTATTAATATTATTTTTATGGTAGAATGCTCTGTATTTGATTATTGTTTGGTTTGATATGAATACTAGGATGCTGTTATGCACTTTTTTAATAGTTATTCTGCATAACCGGAACAATAACGGTTTGACAATTATGCTGACCTTTACTATTCTTTTCCTTGATATTAATTGTAGGCGAAGAGCAAAAGTTTGAAGGTGAAAAGTAGAGTAACCGGAAAGAAGCGCGGTGGTAATTTAGATTATGTTGATGAAGAAGAAGAAGCTTGGCTGCAGGTAGTCTTGATTTTTGGATCCTATTGCTTGCAAATGCTTAATATAAATCCTAAACCTTTTCCTATAGCGGCTGACCTCTGATTCATTCCGCTATAGCGGGATAGCGTTGCTATTGGCCGCTATTGAAAAATGTTGTGAATATAGAAAGTATCTTATTTGCACTGTATGTTATCTATGGACAGGCGATTGCTCTTTCTCTGCAAAATTCTGCAGAACCTTCAGGTTGCTCTAACATGAATGTAGGGAACATCAGCAAGGCCGAGAAAAAGGAAAACATTCACACTCAAGAAGATAGGGAACAAAAGAACAAAAAATCGGTTTGTATTGAGTTTTCTATTTACACATTGATCTTTCCTTTTTTTGTAATTTTTTAAGTCTACACAAAGTCTTTTTTGTAATATTTGATTTTGTCAAACAGTTTTTTAGTCGGCTGCAAATGACTGAAGACGAATTTATTGTACACTTCTTCCAGCTTGATGGTAATTTTATAATTTCTGTTATGATACTTTTTGTTTGTTGAGGGTAACTGTTTGTCAAATTGCTAGCTTTTTTTAAAAACCACTGGCAAGGTAAATCCAAAATACATGCAAGATTATCATCATACTTGCCGACCATCGATGAACTTATCGGATTAACCAACTAAATTTAGCTTCAGTCAGTATAGTGAATTATCATTGCATAGTCAACCGGTATTACCCGCGTCTTAAATTCGTGAAGGTATAAGTTATTGACAAAAGCTATTTGTGACATGCAGAAGCAGGAAAAGGAACCGTAACAAAAAGGGATTTAGAACGAGCTGCTATAACTCATGATTTTGCATGGACAGACAATGAGTTGGTTGATATGATTCGCTGTTTTGATAGTAACGGAGATGGAAGGGTAAGTATTACTAGCCACGTTTTCAATGATTTTGTTTTTTACCAGAGAACATAGAGAACACTACGAAGCATTAGACACCACGCACTATACCAATACCGATAATAATTTGAGAAAAATAGAAGTGATTGTATGTAATCACAAGTGTTAGTGTTGTGTTAGTATAGACACAGACATGTGTCAGACACTGAAGCGTCAGTGTTTCTAACCCTGTAGGCTGCATACCTTTCATTGTTATTGTTAACTAATTAAGTATTACGGGCTTTGTTGCAGCTAAGTCTAGATGATTTTCGCAAGATCGTTGTTCGCTGCAACATGATAAAAGACTCGCAGAATTCTTGACAAGGTAGCGCAAAGTTTTTAGGCATGTGATATAGGATATGCCATTATTTCACTTTATGATTCTTGCCAAGTTGTCATCACTTCGTATATTTCTAATGGAATATCATAGATTTTGTAGTGATTTGTTTCTAGAGGTTGGATACCATCTCAATCTCTTAATTATTTTTTAGGTTTCTTAATTATTTTTTATTGGGCGAGATTTGAAAAAACCCTGTAAACTAAATTTTTAAATTCCTACCCTGACATTTAAAGATTCTACTGTTTTGGTCTTTCATTAAACCGTTCACCCAAAAGGCTTATGTGACATTGTCTAGTTGACATTTTTTTAAATTAAAAGATTTCCTTAATTTCATCTGTCATTTATTTATCTTAATTAAAATATTTTTTCTAATTAAATTACTGTGATCATTGTGAAACTCAGCAACTAACAGTAGCAAACTCTGCATCTGATCTTGAAGCTTCCTTAACCAACCTCAACATCTCCAATTTCACCTCACTTTTCTCTTCACTACTCAAACCTTCTCCAACTTCCAATTGTATCACAAATCTCGAAACACAACCATCAAAATCAAAACCTTCTCTTCGCAAATCCATTAGGATCTTCACCAATTTTTGTTCCGTCGTAGCTTCAACGACTTCCCTTCTCCCAATATGACCATCCTCAAGAACACAATCCAAACCCGCAACACAAACACACAAATCTCTCGACACCAAGAACTCAACAATACTAGGAATCTCTCTGTTAGAATAAATATCATCAACCAAAGGACTTCGAATCAATCCAACAAGTAAACACAACCGTTATAGAACATTTAGAAGCCATTGATATCAAAACTTTGATTGTTCGACCCATTAAAACCAACCCAACAAACACGTTCTTGCTGAATTTAACCAAATCTGCTATAGCCATAGCAGATTCTTGAATCCTTTTCGAGTTAAAATGTTCAATCAACGTGGTTTCCAAAAAGGTAAACACTTTGGCTCTCAAGATCAAGTCTTGAAACTCCAAATCAAAACCTTTGGACAACCTCTGTCGAAACCAGAGTTGTTAATCCCAGTCGGTAAGGCCGCTATCGTGGCGCACCATAGCCTGTGCGGCACCCAACCACGCGCATACCAGGGTGCGGTGGCGGAGATTGAATAGCGGGTGCTCAGACCGCTAAAGCGGGTCACAGATAACAGATTTTTCCCGGGAGGAACGGATCTTTGACTGATTTTCATTTTTTCTCTCACTTTTTTATATGTGGATTTACGATTTTGAAAAGAAAAGATCAAGACTAAGGAAGAATAGAAAGAGAATATGAAGAGAGTGGTACAGTATTAGAAAGAAAGAGAAGATGAACGGGTGGACAATAAATGCGGATTATTTTTTATGGAATAAATAGAGTTAAGATGAAGAATAGAAAGACAAGGAGATGAAACGTGTAACATATAGCTGTAACATAAATAAATGACAGATAGAATTAATGAAATGTTTTAATTTAAAAAAAATGCCAATTACACATTGTCACATAAGTCTTTTGGATGAACTGGTTTAATGAAAGATTAAAATAGTGAAATCTTTAAATGACAGGGTGAGAATTTAAATTTCTTTTAGAGGGGTTTTTCAAATCTCGTCTAAATGGCACAAGGCGAAATTTCATCATTGAATAAGCGAGATGTCGCGGGTTCAACCCGTGCATTTGCAATCTGACGACTTTATATATGTCAGATTAGATACATTAATTATTTAATTAATTGAAAGAGTAAAGTTATCTTAATAATAAACACATGAGAGAATATGTCTCACTTTTGGAGTCACACTTCTATCGGTTCATAGTAATCGCAATGAACATCGCCACACATGTCTTCTCGCGAGATCATCAACATGTATATTTTATGATAGTCTTTGTTGGTCTCTTCTCATGGCGAGATCATCGACATGCTTACTTTACATGACAGGTCTTACTCTTCAAAAGCTCCTATGAATGACAAGATTCAATCAATCAATAATTTTTCCAGAGAACCATTAGTAATAAAATATACACTATGGTGCAATTGTTATTTTCTACACCAATCATTAACAATTGTGACGAAGAAAAATTAAATTGAACCGAGGTTAAAATAACTAAATTGTTATGTTTAGTTAGTGAACCAAACTATATTATACAAACATTTCTAGAACCAAACCGAAATTAAAATTGAACCCAGCCGAAATTGAAAATGAAAAATACTAAAATTAAGTTTTAACTTTAAAAAAAAAAAAATTTAACGGTTCAGTTTTTTAATAAACAGTTCGGTTCGGGAAAAATTATTTTCTAACAGTTTGGTACTGTTCGGAATTTTGAAACAGTATCTCAAACTAATAATTTTGGTTTGGTTCGATTCTAAGTAAATTGAAACGGTTCGATTCAGTTTGAGTGAATTTTTACTATGATTTAATTTGGTTCGGTTCGTTTTTCTTCTTGAACTGTATCATGAACAACCTTAGATAACACACGACCTAATTTGAAGTGTCGAAAGAAAATTTGATCGATCGTAAATTTGATAATAAAAAATAACAAATTAGGATGATAGGATAAGAATGAAGGTCACCTTTAAGTATTCTTAAAACAAGATTTAGGGAATAAATGTCATACCAATTCTTGCTCAAGTCTTTTATTTTGCTCGATAGCATTATCCCTCTCCTCAGTTAATTTTGAAATAAGTGCATTTGCCTGAAACACAATTCAATAGTCCACTTTTAAGGCCTACATTATAGTTCACTTTACACACCCTTAAACACAACTCTCTTTTAAGATCAAAAGTAAATATTATAAGTCTGTTCAGGTTGAAGTTCATAACAATGTGACCACATTGTGACTAATCACCACATCAATAATCAATTTTAAAAAATGAAGTGAAAAAAAACCTGATCTGAAAAGACAGATGAACGAGAAGACAAATATCCATCAAATCCTTCTTGAATTGGAGATGATGGTTGAGAAGGTTCAGCATAAATAACTCTTAGTTTGCACTCTTTAACTTTAGAGCCCAACTTTTTATTAAACTACATGCAATGAAAAAATGAAACAATTAAGTTATGCAATATATTTTATGTGACAGATACAATATTGTAATTCTTTAATCTCCATAATATATAAAAAATTGTTAACAGAGTTACCATTTCTGAAGTGATATCTTTTGTGGTTGCTCCTATCTTTGCAACTACGCCTTGAATAAGAAACTTATCTTTACATTGCATGTCAGGAGGTATTTCCTTTTGAGCTTCCATGGTAACTACATAATGGAAGTGTTCATTCATTTGATTTTTTATAAAAAGAAACTAAAATCAAACACATCTACAACTTCTTAAAAGTAAATAGGAGTTAAATTATTTATGTTAAATTATTGTAACATATAGTTAAATTATTGTTACTATTGTTGGATACAAAACAGAATTCTGTATAAACTCTTGTATATTGCACTAGTTGAATAAATTATATACCTGGTCTTTTATAGACTCAAATTAAACTTTTATAATTCTAAAACATAAACATAAACGTAACTGCTACTAATAACTATCATAACTTGCTAAACTATTGTCCTTCCTACTACCATAATTAAATGCAAAGTTTATTACAAACACATTTAATGTTTATTCAACAAAACTCCTCTGTAAACTTAAATGTTTCTTCGATCCAGCATTCCTATCATTTTCTTGCCTCTGTCGAAGACTTCTTTCGATAGTGGTTTTGTGAAGATGTCCGCTGCTTGGTTTCTGCTTGCTACATGCCTTAATTCGACGCTTCCCTCCTTCACATGTTCACGAATGAAGTGAAATCGAACGTCTATATGTTTGCTTCGTTCATGATTCACTGGATTCTTTGCCAATTCGATAGCTGATTTATTGTCCACTTGTATTATTGTTGGACCTCCCTGCTTCAGCTCCATCTTGCTTATCAACCTTCTGAGCCATACTGCATGACAGACGCACCAGGATGCTGCCACATATTCTGCTTCACACGTCGAAAGTGTCACTATAGGCTGCTTCTTCGATAGCCAAGTGAAAGCCGTGTTTCCCATGAAAAACACATATCCTGCAGTGCTCTTTCGATCGTCAATGTCTCCACACCAGTCACTGTCAGAATAATCCACTAGCTTGTAGTCTTCTGTCTTTGAATAAAACATCCCAAGTGATACTGTTCCTTGGATGTATCTTAGAATTCGTTTCAGCGCCTTCCAATGTGTGTGTACTGGCTCCTCCATGAATCTACTCACTATGCCAACACTTAGTGAAATGTCTGGCCTTGTGCATGTGAGATATCGAAGGCTACCTACCAAGCTTCGATATTTGCTTCCTTCGACCCGTTCTCCTCCATCAAACTTTGACAGCTTTGTACCTGACTCCATTAGCGTCGAAGTTGGATTGCAATTCTTCATTTTATATTTTTCTAAGATTTCCTTTGCATACTTTTCTTGTGATATGAAAATTCCAGCTTCTTCTTGTTGAACCTCCAGACCAAGAAAGAATCTCATCAGACCTAAGTCTGTCATTTCGAATTCGCTTGTCATGGTGCTTTTGAAGTCTTCGATCATCTGAACATCACTGCCTAGAAATATAAGATCATCTACATAGAGTGCAACAAGTAATAAATTACTTCCATTTTTCTTCACATAGAGGGCTGGTTCATAAGGGCATTGCTCGAATCCATTCTCCTTGAAATATGAGTCAATACGTGTGTTCCACGCCCTAGGTGCTTGCTTCAGCCCATACAGTTCTTTCTTCAGTTTCAACACCTTCTTCTCTTCTCCAGTTCTCATGTATCCAAGTGGTTGTTCGACATAGATTTCTTCTTCGAGCACACCATTCAAAAATGTTGTCTTGACATCCATTTGAAATATTGGCCATTTGAACTGAGCAGCTTGAGATATGAGCAATCGAATTGTCTCCATTCTTGCAACAGGTGCAAACACTTCGTCATAGTCAATTCTTGCCTTCTGTTTGTATCCCTTCGCAACCAGCCTTGCTTTGAATCTTTCGATTTCTCCTTGAGCATTCATCTTTTTCTTGAATACCCACTTTACACCAATGGGTTGACTACCTTTTGGTAATTCGACTAGCTCCCAAGTATTGTTGCGTTCGATTGCTCTAATTTCTTCGTCCATGACACTTTTCCACTTCTTATCTCTTAACGCTTCTTCAACACTTATGTTTTCAGCATCTGCCAGAAGACACACAAGATGCACCTCACTTGTTGAATCATACAAATCTTGCAAGCTTCTCATTTTGGGTTGTAGAGGTTCATCTCCATCTTCTGTTTCTTCATGTTCTTCTGGAATACTTGTTGGTACAGTTATAGTTGTTTCTTCGACTGTGTCAGCAACCTCTGTCGAAATGTTCCAGTCCCACTTGCTTGCTTCGTTCATTCGAACGTCTCTGCTCACAACCACTTTCTTGCTTATGGAATTGAAGAGCTTGTACCCTTTCGTCTTCTCATCATATCCAATGAATATGTACTTCTGACTTTTGTCTTCAAGATTTGTTCTTCGTTGATCTGGTATATGTGCATAAGCTATGCTACCAAATACCTTGAGATGAGAAATTGTTGGCTTCTGTCCACTCCATGCTTCTTGTGGTGTTTTGTCTTCTAACTTCGAATGTGGACATCTATTCTGAATATAAAAACACATTGTACTGCTTCTGCCCAGAATTCTTTTGACATGTTCTTGCTTTTGAGCATTGATCGAACCATGTCAAAAATAGTTCGATTCTTCCTTTCAGCCACACCATTTTGCTGAAGTGAATATGGTGCAGTTAGGAATCTCCTTATGCCCTGTTCTTCACAGTACTTCACAAAGGCCATCGAAGTATACTCTCCTCCTCTGTCAGATCGAATTTCTTTGATGTGTCTATCTGTTGCCTTCTCCACCATTACTTTGAATTTCTTGAACACTTCTAATGCTTCAGATTTTTCTTTCAGGAAGTAGACCCAGGTTTTTCTTGAGAAGTCATCAATGAAGGAAATGAAGTACCTTTTTCCACTGAAGGATTCTGGAGTGATTGGCCCACATATGTCAGTGTGTATTAATTCGAGTATCTGTTTAGCTTGATACTCTGCCTTCTTTTGAAATGAGGTTCTTGTTTGTTTGCTGAGCACACATTCTTCACAGAATTTTCCTTCGAAGTCCATGTCTGGTAGTCCATGCACCATGTTCCTTTTTGCCAACCTTCTCAAACCAGCATGATGTAGATGACCAAAGCGCATGTGTCATAGTGACGCTTTGTCTTGCACTTCAATTTGCAGACATTTCTCTCGAATGTTCCTCAGATTCAGTTTGTACATTCGATTTCTTTCCATTTCGACAGCGGCAATCAGATATCCTGTTTTGTCCTTCAACTGCAGTGTTCGATCTTTCATCAGTATCGAAGCACCTTTTTCTGTAAGTTGTCCCAGATTTAATATGTTGGTCTTAAGATCTGGTACATAGTACACGTCTTCGATTGATCCAATCAGGCCATCCTTCTGCAAGTAACTGATTGTGCCCTTTCCTTCAACCTTCACTTTCGATGCATCTCCAAAAGACACACTACCATCTTCAATTTCCTTCATATCTTTGAACAGGTGTTTGTAACCACACATGTGATTACTTGCTCCTGAGTCAAGATACCAAACACTGTCATTGGTGTTGATTTCGTTTTGAGCCATCAGGAGAAAGCCTTCATTTGATTCAGCTTCCAAGGCTAGGTTGGTTGTCTCTTCAGCCTTCTTTTCATTTCGACATTCTTTTGCAAGATGTCCCACTTTGTCACAGTTGTAACATTTGTAGGAGTTGCAATCCTTCGCGTAATGACCATACTTCCCACACTTGTAGCATTCGAAATTGGAATAATTCGAACGACCACCTCTTTGACCACGTCCTCTGCCACGCCAATTTTGTTGGCTCGAATGTCCTCTTTCGAAGTTGCTGCCTCTACCACTTCGACCACTGTCACGACCTCCACGTCCACGTCTTCTTTCTCGAAAGTTGTGAGAAAAGAGTACCTTTTCATCTTTGTTTGATTCCTTGGTTTGATTTGCTTCTTCGTCTGCTTCTTCTTTCTTTTTCATCTTTCGTTGTTCATGTGCTTCGAGCGAACCAGTGAGCTCTTCGATTGAGAGCGTCGAAAGGTCCTTCGACTCTTCTATTGCACACACTAGATTTTCAAACTTGTCTGTTAAAGATCTCAGGATCTTTTCAACAACTCTTGCATCAACTACTGTCTCTCCATTTCTCGTGAGTTGATTCACCACCTTTTGCACACGTGTGATGTAATCAGATACAATTTCTGTATCCTTCATCTGTATCCTCTCCAATTCTCCACGAAGAGTTTGGAGTCGAACCTGCTTCACTCGATCTGCTCCTTTGAACACATTTTCTAACGTGTCCCACGCTTGTTTCGACGTAGTCGAACCAGTAATCTTCTCAAAGCCTGATTCATCTACAGCCCTGAACAACATGTATAATGCCGTTTTGTCCTTCGCTCGCGTCTCTTTCAACGCCTTCGTCTGAGCTGCTGTAAATCCCCCAACTTCTGTTGGTTCTTCAAACCCATCATTGGTCACCTCCCACGCATCTAGAGATCCAAGAAGAGCTTTCATTTGGATACTCCAGTTTTCATAATTGGACTTCGTTAGCCGTGACAACGGCATTTGGTTCATCATGTTTGCCATGAGCTCTGATGCCAAATTGTTGGATACAAAACAGAATTCTGTATAAACTCTTGTATATTGCACTAGTTGAATAAATTACACACTTGGTCTTTTATAGACTCAAATTAAACTTTTACAATTCTAAAACATAAACATAAACGTAACTGCTACTAATAACTATCATAACTTGTTAAACTATTGTCCTTCCTACTACCATAATTAAATGCAAAATTTATTACAAACACATTTAATGTTTATTCAACAACTATCCCATGACAAACTATTTGTTGAATGTTGTAATCCAAAGACTAATCGAAGCCTTGATTAATAAACTTTGCTTATATATTTAGTTTGTTAGTTTGGCAGTTAAGAGATAATTATATTTAACAAAACTTTAACTGATTTACTTGCTCAACAAGTAAATCAGTTTAGAGGTGATAATGTGCTATATAATCATTCTCCATCATGCATTTTACTATTCATTAATAAATTCTCAATTATCATAACCATTATATCTCTTTCACTAGTTGCTTGAGCTAAAAGAAACTAATTAATTTTCATTTAATCTAAAACTATCTAGTAGAAACGTTGTAAAATAGTAGGCATTATAGTACTGTTGAATTGCGGAACTAGAACAAACTGAAATATTCTATGAACAACCTAGACAAAATAAAATAATAAAAATAGAATAAATTAATTTAAAAATTACTAATTCAAATTATTTCACCATTCACATAAACAAGCACATGATTATTTATTCATCTTTGCATGTCTTTGTGCATTAGTGTGTAAGAGGTAGAATGAAGAAGGAAAGTAGGGAGTTGAGAGAGAGAGGGAATAAAACCTTTAACATCACAAGTAGACATAGGCAACATAACTCCATGATTAGGCTTAACAAAATACTTCTTAGGATTTGTAGTCTTAACCTGCAACATCACCATCAATTTGACTTCAAATAAAAATTTCAACTAGGAATAATACGGAATGCAGATTCATTGTAGTCACTAATGAATATATTCATGCGATCAGTGTATCAATTATCGTTTAATTATGATTTGATGATTCAAAAATTGTGACTTTTAATTTTGGAATTATAATTTAAATCACTGATGTATCAAGTGTGTGAATGCGTACAATGACTGCATGAATTTTGCATTCGAAAAAATGAGTGATAAAAGAAACATAAATAAATAAATAAAATGAGAACCTTAAAAGCCACATAATTATCTGACTTGTTAGACAACTCCAAAGAGGATGATATCTGCTTCCTCAATTCAACTTTTTCGTACAAAATCAAAGAAGGGAAAAAATTTAGAAATTAAACACAAAGCAAAAAAAGCAAAATGTTGAAGATTAGAGGCTTACAAGAAAATTGCAGCTCTTGAGGATGTACCTGATGATAGTACCGTCTTTTTTAGTAAATGTTTCAAAAATCCATTAAAATGGAGAAACAAATTCAAAATAGAAAAACATAGAAAAAAGACTTAAAAACTATGTGACTTATGAATATGAAAATCACCTCAAATGAAGTATCAAGTTGTTTAACATGTTTATTTGAAACTTTCGAATCGTTATCAGATCCATCTCGAATGGGAGACTGCGGTCGAGGAGGATCAACATAGACAACCCTCAATTTGCACTCCTTAACCACGTAGCCAGAATCTTTATCAAACTATGAGATTGAATAACAACAAAAAAAAAATTTAACACAATGAATATTTTATGTACTAGTGTATGTGTTACATATGTGATTCTTAATCTCAATAATTTTTTTTTTAATTTTTGTTTACCATTTTTGGAGTGATATCTTTTGTGGTGGCTTCATTTTTGGAGTGATATGTTTTGTGTTTTGCAACTATGCTTTGAAAAAGAAACTTATCCCGACATTGCATGTCAGGAGGTGCCTCCTTTTGGGCTTGCATTGTAACTAAAATATAAAAATAAAAATATGACACAAACAATTAATAAAAATGAGTATAAAAGAATATAAATATGACACAAACAATCAAAAAATGAGTATAAAAAAATCTAACACAAAAATTGTTAACAGATAGCTGAATTTAAATCTAAGATCTTGAGAAGGACATATTCTCAGATTTCAAACCTTCATTAATAGACTAATTTCTAAGATTTAATTTAAATTATTTAACAATTGATAGAGACAAGTAAAAGAGTGTTCTTCTTTTGCATGTCTTTGTATTTTTATATGCAATAAGAGAGTGCAAAAAGAAGGTAGAGAGAAACCTCTAACATTAATAGTTGACTTTGGCAACACAACTCCAATGTTAGGCTTAACACAATAATTCTTTTGATTTGTAGTCTTAGCCTGCAACAATACAATTAATATTCAAATTAAATTTTACTAAAAATATTTTGGATAATGAAATATAAATATTTTTATTATCTTGGTTTTAAAATAAATAAGTTTTAATTTTTATTAGTTTTATAACTATTCAATAAAATAATATTAAAAAATATCATATAAACCAATAAAAAGAAGATGTGATTGTGCTTCATTTTATACGTCTTTTTACTGGATAAAGTTTAATTTTGTTTAACTCGTTTGCTTCAGTTTCATAATATATTTACTCTATTTTATTCTATTTATCAAGAATATTTGTACATGGTGTTATCTAATTCAAGAGTTTATAAAATGAAAAAAAAACAAAACACATTAATTTAGAAGCTCAAAGATAGTAGTGAGTGAAAAAAGAAACATGATGAATAATGAAAATAATGAGAAGAACCTTGAAAGCTACACAATTATTTGATTTGTTAGACAACTGCAAGTGGCAAGATATCTGCTTCTTCAACTCAACTGTTTCACAAAATCCAAACACATATAACCCAAAAATATCAAATATTTCATTAAAAAGAAAACTTAAAAAAAAAAAAAAATCTTGGAATTGAAGAAGCATAATTACATGGAAATTGCAGCTCTTGAGGATGAATCTGGAGATGGAGATTATCATCTTGATCATTCAATTTTTCATAACCCAAATTCAATGGAGAAGCATAACGTCGTGGAATGACCAAACGCAATAATTTAGAAGCTGAGGATGAAGCAGAAGAAACCGTTTGTCCCATTTTTTCACAAACTATTGAAATTATTTATTTCCATGTGTTTTATGTCAAGAGAAAGGACTAGTTTGTGAAACTCTCAGTTTTGGATCATTGACCATAAACATTTGGATGAAGTAATTGAGGTTAGGGACGGTTTTCAAAGTATAAAACAAGAAGAAAGAGTGAAATTTCTAATCATATTCCATGAATATAATATAATTTGTGAATTGATATTTATTAGCGAGGTTTCATACCTTATGACTAACACACACACACATATATATATATATATATATATATATATATATATATATATATATATATATATATATATATATATATATATATATATATATATATATATATATATATATATATATATATATTCCTAAAGCCCTACTTTTGAATTTTGGATTTAGTAAGATATGATTTGAGTTAAGTTTTTATAATATCAGCAGATTTGAATTGTTATAATATGCATTAGTTGATTCAACTCAATAGGCTGACTAATCAATCACTCTAATGTTAGGAATTGACCGAGTTTGCAAGTACAATCGATTATAGTATTAAATTAGTAAGATATTTGTGTCTCTGTATGAGTAAATTTATTTGATATTGTATAAAATGTATTTAGACACATGTAAATTTGAAATGAATGTATTTATTATAAATGAACAATGATCATATAAATTCAATTGTATTAAATAATCATATAAAAAAATGACCTGTGAGATGGAGAAAAAAAAATGAAATTTTAATATTTGAAAATAAAAATAATATCTCAAATAAAGATAATTATTAATTAAAATAAAATAGACATTGTTAATTGATAATATAGAAGAAATGGAAGATGATGAGTAGCTGATAATAACACGCTGCATGTACACATGCACGAGTTAGTTGGATAGTGTAACTAACTTGTAAGGTAGTTAGAAGGTGTAACTAACTTCACCTCACTATATAAACCAACTTGTAACTTCTTTTCAATCCAGTGAATGTATAATACTCTCTCTATCTTCTTCATTCTCTTTGAGTATTTTGCTTTAACAATGAAGTTTTATTCTTCTTTCATGAAGGTTTGGATTGCTTAGATGGTGTTAGAGCAGGTTCATCCTGCTCTATTTCCTTTGCGAATTAAATTTCCTTCAATCTTGCATTCATTTTCATGGTCACTGCTTCTTGAAGCGTCAATAACATTAGTTTCGCTCTTTTTTTCTCTGTTTCTCTCTCTCTTGTTTGATGACGAGAAATAATAACAACAATCAAGTTTAGGATTAACTTGATCCTTATTACGTACATTCATTGGAAAATTCATCAACGGTGTGTGTGACTCTGACGTTATCTGGTGATAACTATCATGTGTGGTCGATGAAGATGAGGCGTGCTTTAGCCATGAAGAACAAGTTCAAATTTGTTGATGGATCGATAGGAATTACAGATGAAGACAATTTGAACTATGTAGTGTGGCAAAGATGCAATAATCAGGTGCATACATGGATCATTAATTCAATAAAACCATTGATTGCTCAAAGTGTGGTGTTTATTGTGTGAGGGAAAAAGTGAAAGAACCGAGTTTTAATGATTGTCAAAAACTCATCTGTGCAAATATGCCTTGATTTAAAACAGGTGCAAGTGAGAAACATAAAAAATAAGCATCTATCTCAAAACAGACTGCATGAGCCGGCTCATGGATTCTCAGGTCGACTCATGAGAAGAAGTTCTTGGCTTGGAAACGTCCGGGAAGGCGCACGCCTCCTCCATGCGTCGCCGCATGATTCTGGGAGAACATGAGTCGGCGCATTAGAGAATGAGTCGGCGCATAACAGAAGAAAATTCAACCTCTCTCGCTCGGGAAGGCGCACACCTTCTCTATGTGTCGACGCAGTGTTCTGGGAAAACATGAGTCGGCGCATCAAAATAGTGAGTCGGCGCATAACTAAAGGAACTTCAATCTCTCTCTCTCTCTCTCGCTCGGGAAGGCGCACGCCTTCTGTATGCCCTGTATGAGTCGACGCATCACTAAATTGTCTTAATTTTCTGCTATGCTGTTACATCATGGGAATGACTTATAAATATAATTTTGGCCTCTATTTGAAAAATAACAAGAAAAAGTGAAAGATATACACAATAGTTCTCTTCATCTTCAACCTCTCATCAATCATCAACAACTGCGCACAATCATTCTTGTTGATCAAGTTCTTGGGATTGTGTTGATAACGTCCGAATTGAAAATGCAATTTCGGATTTGGGTTGAGATCTTTGTGGGTTTTTTCTTTAATAAAACCATTGGGGTTTTGTCCTCCAAATTGGGGTTTTTTTATCACAAATCTTTGCTTCATTGAATTCACCCGAGCTAAGGGATTGGAAGACAGTGGAGTGTTCAATCGGGTAGCGGTAACCGGAGGATTGTCAAGAAGGATTTGGGGCCAAAGATTCTTGAGTACAAAATCATTCAAGGTAGAAGAAGTCTTTGTTCAAGATTTGGCATACTTGATTCATATGAAATCAAGGGAAGAGGAATGCATCATATAAGATTCATCAAGTGATTTTGAATTGTGGTGATTGTATCTTCTCTTACAAACTTTGCAAAATTAATTTCATATCCTAATTCTAGATTTTAGAATTGGGGGCAGAGTAGCCCACGCGAGGACGACGGGGTGAACTTCCTTAACAAATACCGTGTCCAATTTAGTTTTCTGCATTTGATTTCTATTTGCTTAAATTTGTGAGGTATCAATTTTCTTATGCATACAAAATAATTGAAGTGATAAACTAAAATTTAAAACTCATATAACATTCATTCGAATTGCTACGATCACTACAATTTGAGTATAACCAAACCTTGTGTAGTACGTACGCCAAGTGTTTGGTGAATTTACAACTCACAAATTTGCTTTATCTTCTCCGCAACTAATTGGTAATAACTTACACCTTGTTAAACTTGCTAAAGCGATTCATTATATTCATTTTTAATTGTGATTCTATTTCCATCATTTTCATCAAATTAGTTCGCATATCCGATCTTTCCAATATGTAAAGTTTAGACGATCAGATTCAGGGTTGTCGCTCTCTGATAAAAATAATTTTACAAAACGCGCAAATTTTTAAAGGGATCTATTCAACCCCCCCTTCTAGATCCGTCACATCGTCTAACAAGTGGTATCAGAGCACTGGTTTATCCAGTGCTTCAAATACAACTTCTAGAAATGGATTGTGATCTAAAAGGGGCGTACAATAGAGCACCCGTTTTCACAGGTGAAAATTATAGCTATTGGAAAGATTGTATGTGTGTCCATATCACCTCTGTTGATAGAAAAATATGGAAGGTTATCCAAGATGGGCCAGTTGAAATAACTATGCAAAATGCTGTCGGGATAACCGTTCCTAAACCGGAAGCACAATGGGATGAAAAAGATGAGAAAATCAAGGGCAAGGTCAGAGGAGAGAAGCTTTTGACCCAATTCTGATTATGCAGAATTGTTTCCAGCTTTAATTTAAAATAAATTGTTGCATACTAGGTCTCCCCATGCTATACCTTCACCTTTACCATGGTATTACAAGGCGGATCATACTTGTGCTTTTCATCAAGGATCCCTAGGGCACAACATTGAAAATTGTTATCCCTTGAAGTCTGAAGTGCAAAAGATGGTGAGATCTAGTCTTCTATCTTTTAAATATATTGGTCCTGATGTGAATGATAATCCACTACCCAAGCATGGAGGTGGAAATGTCATAAATATGGTTGTTGGTTATCCTAGGGACTTCAGGATTTTTGATATCAACCTGGTTAGAAGGGATTTAGTGAAGATGCATGCTGATCTCTGTGAATTCAGCTATTATACACATGACCATGTTGGTTGTAGTATTTGTAGTACAAATATCCATGGATGTGATAAAGTGAGAGATGATCTTCAAGAAATGATGGATGAAGGTCTTATCCATATAATCAGACCAAGGGATGAATATGAAGAAGACGTGAATATGGTTTATGAATGTACCAGTGAATTCTAGATTTTTGATGTGAACTATATGAATGATGATCCAGTACAGCTGCATGCTACATTCTGTCACATGGATGGGCCAAGAAGAATATTATTATGGGTCTTGTCAGATCTGTTGTAGGGATTCTCGTGGTTGTTCTATCGTAAGAAAAGGTGTTCAGTTATTTCTAGATAATGGTAACATCAAAGTCACGGGTGATAGAAATGATTACAATGGAGTTAATATGATTGAAGATTACTCAATTATGTCCATGTCTGATGATGAATATGTTTCCAACTGATGAGTGCTTTTCCTCTGATGAAGGTATGTTCTCTGTTAATGATTCTGTGATGCCTAAATATTCTGAAGTGGGGGTAAATGTCATTGTGTCATGTTTTTGTGTTCCTACTCTTGTAGATATTAACTACCATAACAAGCCTGATGTTGCTCCCGTGGTTATTTGTCTTTCTGGTCTTGTCCCATATGAATCATATAAAGTTGTGCCTTATAAGTACAATGCAACCATCCTAGAAGATGTTGTGGAAATTCCATCCAACCTTTATCCCATGTCGAGAATATTGCTAAAGCTAGTCGAGTAACTCGTAGTGGTTGTGTCTTCTCCTCTACCTTTCGAGGGGATGTTAATTCTGATAAAAAGGTTTTCGAGAAGGTTTAACCTAAGAAAATGGTAGGAGAATCTAGTGGCGCTTCCTTGGAAAAGGACATGGATGAATTGTTGAAAATCATCAAGATGAGTGATTACAAGATTGTGTATCAGTTGTTGCAAACTCCATCTAAGATTTCCATTCTAGTCTTGTTGATGAACTCTTCTGCTCATCAGGAATCTCTGATGAGAGTGTTGGATCAGGCTTTTGTTGAAAGTGATATGTCTCTATATCAGTTCAGCAGTGTTGTAGGGAATATTACATCTTGTAATAATCTGAGCTTTTGTGATGACGAGTTGCCTGATGAAGCAAGAAACTATAACCTGACTCTCCATATTTCTATGAATTGTAAGAATGACTCTTTGTCTAATGTGCTGA